CTATCGAGGCTTTCACAAAGTAGTTCCTTCCTTTGTCCGGGTCCTCAGGTTCTGAATCTGACATGCCCAAAATAGAACACACCTTGAACATATGTTTGTCCACCTGGAAAGCCGTGAACATGCTGGCATGCTTTATTTCTTCTTGGAATCTGCAAGTTTTGTGTGTTTTTTGTTAAACTATTGTGTGCTGTTTTTTGTAGCACTGTATGTTGTCGTGGCCAATAGAAGTACATTTCGTTTGAACATGGCAACTATAGTGCATTACACATGGCAACTGTAGTACATTAGACATGGCAACTGTAGTATATTAGACATGGCAACTGCAGTGCATTAGACATGGCAACTGAAGTACATTTTCACCTGGTCATTGTCATTTCCATACAAACATCTCCACTAGAAGCACAGTGCATAAAACATGGCAACTACATTTATTAAACATGGCAACCTCAGTTGAGTAAACATGGCATTTGCATTTCAGTAAAAATGGCAATTGCATTTTAGCAAACATGGCAAATGTAGTTGAGTAAACATGGCAACTGCATAACATTTTCAATTGGCATTGCCATTTGCATACCAACATGCCCACTGGAAGTATAGTGTATTACACATGGCAACTGCATTTCATTAAACATGGCAACTACAGCTGATTAAGCATGGCAAAACAGTAGTTCACTAAACATGGCAATTGTAGTTGAGTAAACATGTCAAACAGTAGTTCATTAAACATGGCATCCTCAAATCATGGCAACTGCATTGCATTCTATATGGCCTCTACTGCCTTCATACTTGTGCAAATAAGATTGCAACGCAACTGACTTACTTGTTAAAGATCTTGTTGGTATATATCTTGCTCATTTGCCTCTCCATCGGTAAATGCGTTAGCAATTTTGGTTGCTTTAGGGTGGTGTTCGCTTCTTGCTGTAGCTCAGATCCCAGTATTTTTTGTTGCAATGCTATGTACTGCTTGGCAAACTGTAGCAATGAGTTGCCAGGGCTCACTTACTACTTCAAAACAGCATTGAACCCCTCGCTGCGCTGCGTAGTCTGCAGAAAAGGGAAGAATCACTGCATGAAGTAGGTCGGCACCCAGTACATTCGCTTCTCCCATAGGCTAGCAAGAGTCTCGTTGTCTTGGACTTGATATGTTTCAATCATGGCTATCCAGCTCCTTTCAAACTCCTCCACTGTCAAGCTGTGGTCCATGCACAACTCGAATGCCTTGTGCAGCTCTGGACGGTCAGCAAAGAACGGTCCTAGCGTCTCCTCAGCCTTCTTTATAATGTGCCACCTGCAGTGCATGTACACTGCCAACGGAAAGACCCCCTCTATGCCTGCACGCATGCTAAAATCCTGGTTTGTTATTATGTTCATCGGAGCAAGTCCATCCATGCACTCGAAGAAGGTCTAGAACAGCCAAACGTACCCATCCGTGTCTTCGTTCCGAACGAGCCCGCATCCGAATTGCAACGGCTGATTGTGGTTATTTATTCCTATGAATGGAGCGCACGACATCTTGTACATATTAGTGAGATACGTCGCTTCGAATGAAATGCAATCTCGGAAATGTTTGTAGGCTCTTCTTGCAGCACCATCCACCCAATACATGTTCCTGACATGGTCCTCATTGTCCAATCTTATCCTGTAGAAGAAATCTGGATCTTCCTTCGCTTTCTCATCGAAGTAGGCCATCGTGGCTTCTATGTCAGCCAACTTGCTCTCTCTACGGTATTTTTCCTTTAGGTTTGTGACGTCAGCTGGTATGTAGGGCATGCTACTCAGAGTCCCATTTTTGCTGTGGATGAGTGATAGTATCTGCACCATTCTTGATGGACCGACGTTACAATCATGTAGCAGCTTTATGAATTTCTTCTCGAGGAGGGTGAATCCTCTGTGGGCGGTCAGAAATTTCACCAGGTCGAACTTCTTTATGAGTTGGTGGTTGTGCTCGTCAAAATATTCAGTGACCACCCACTGTGCTCCATCTACGTTTAGCTTACACCGGACAGGGCATTCCGTCTTGAGAATGATTCCTCTCTTTTGTTCCGGAACGACAGGCGCAACACCTTTCCCCTTCTTGTTCCTTCGTGCTTTGTGGCACCTCATCTCACCTCTGCTATACTCGTTTGTTTTCTTAATCTTCCTATGGTATTCGGTGTTGACCGCAAATCCATGGAACTTTGCATACGTCTGGTAGAATTCCTTTGCTTCTGCGAACGATTCAAATCTCTGCCCCAACGTACGGTGGCTGAGGTACCATGATCTCTGATTGCCCACCATCTTCATTCCCTTGTGCTTCGTCATCAGTTTCATTATTCACTTCAGTATCGGTGGCAGTTTGATCTACTTGAGTGTTGCCAGTGCTTGTGTTCAAAGGGGTGCTTGTCGGCATTGCAGGAATGATTGCCATTTCCGACTCTGACTCGGTATTGTTTGCGGCATGATTGGTGGCTGGCTGGTGGAACGCGTCTTCCGTGCGCTCAGATCTCCCCGCAGTAGATGTCCCTGTGCCGCTGTTCACTGTAGTTGTAGGCCCTGTAATAGAAAAAAACAGGTACAGGCGTAAGATTTTTGCTTGAATGACATGTTTATCATAACTGAGTACATCAACTTCAAGTGATTTGGCATGACATCATTCAAACAGCAAGCCGTCAGTCTGCATGTGGACATGCATGGCAACTGTAGTTGTCCAGTCATGGCAGCTACTGTCCAACAAACATGGCAACTACTGTTGCCAATGCATGGCAACCAGCTCATTTTTCAGTACGAAAACTTGGATTCTATGTGCATGGCAGCTGCAGTGCTGCATACATGGCAAATACTATTGCCAACACATGGCAACCCAGTGTGTTCTAGCATCAAAACTTTTTATATTCTAGTCTCGAGCTCACTATGCAAATGCGATCAACCATTTAGTGTTGCACACATGCTTTTAGCAACTCGCAAACCCCGAAGACAAAATATCACTCATTTGTACAAAACCACTTTTTGTTCGCGTTTTCTATTTGATTTTTTTCCACCATCACTGATACAAATCTTCTTTTCCTCACATGCTATTCCCGCAAAAAGAAATGCAGTTATGTTTTTGTTGTTCAATTTTTCATTACCTTGTTGTGCTGCATGTGCCCATCTTGTGTGATCTGTAACACCAAATTGACGTGCTCTATCTGCAATGTGTGAAGCTTGCCATGAGATATTTGCCGGGGTAGAAGCATCGTAATAACCTGTAAGCATGGTAGTAGATGGGTAATGCATGGCAACTGCAAGTTGTCCAGGGATGGCAACTGCATTTGTTCAGTCATGGCAACTGCAGTTGTCCAGGGATGGCAACTGCAATTGTCCACAGATGGCAACTGCAGTTGTCCAGTCATGGCAACTGCAGTTGTTCAGGGATGGCAACTGCAGTTGTCAACTATGCACCTTCTGCTAATTCACCGTCCGCAGCTTCACTTTTTATGGACTCACCTGTGTATGACGTCGATGGCAGGTACATGGGTGCCGCCTGACGCCACGTGCTGCATGAAGGTTCTGCAATTTTTCCCGACACAACTTGTGAGTCTTTTGCCATCCTTTGCAAGTTTATTTTTCATGCCCACACCAGTATGTCTCTTTTTCGTATGCGTTACCTTGATTTGCCACATTAGCTAGTTGAAGTTGGCTGCCCGTACATTTATCAGTGTTAGCGCCCTGTGACTGAACTTGCCATGGTGCCCCCCTGAGTGTGTTTTGGTCATAAGAACCTGCTAAAAATGACAGTGTAGGACATAAATAGAATGTCATCATCATAGTTGCAAACACGGCAAATGTTCTTTTCTTTTTGTTATCTTGCATCATACCAATACCTATGTACTGTTCTAGTAGTGGCAGCAACGGTCCTGCAGAAATGAGTTGACTGTATTCTGCTGCATCCCAAGGGGGGTGTTTCTAGTCTTTGAGAACCCCAAAGATCAGCGCCATCTGCGTGATTCATTCTTTTCCGCGTCTCTTTTCTGCCAATGTGCTCTCAGTCACTGCATGAACAAGAACGCATCAACAATCCACAAAAAATGTATCCTTCTGTTGCTTGCACATAGAAGTTAACACGTGAGTGTTATCACATTTTCATGCGTAGGCAACCAACATATCATGGCTAGTAGGACATGCACATCCACTCTCTTTTCTAAAATCTGGGTGCTAGTTATCCGTTCGATTCGATGGCATCAGCCACTACAATAGGATGGCAAGTAATAGGTTAACATGGTGGCAGTTAACAACAACGATAGGTGACAACTGACGTTAGACA